GGGGGGGTATTTTTAATGGGATGTGCTGGTGTCCCCTACTTAGGGCACCCTGAAGGGCTACAGAACAGAAGGTAACGGCCATGGAGAAGAAGACACCTGGGGTGCTGTGTGTTTGAATCAGGAAGATACTGCAAAATTCATGGCTATGTCATTGTCAAGTGGGAGTATTTTCTATAGCAATTCGATTAATGGACCACTTTCTCACCAGTCTTAGCTGGAACTAGGGGAACCACTGAAGCTTTGCGGGAAGCTGCGGAGGTGCTTGTCCACCACTCTCCCAGGTTTCACAAGGGAGCCTAGGAGCAATTTGTTTGGTTCAGTCCTAATTTCCACTACAGTTTATGTCTCTTCTTTCTGAGTCCTTTCCATTAAAAAAAAATAGAAACTAGCATATGGATACTAAGTACCAGACACAAGTTTCCGTTTGTTTCATTGAACCCTAGAGCTACCCTGGGAGATTTTGTCATTCCTGCCTTACACGTGAAGAAACTAAGATTCAATAACTTGCCCTAAATTGCACAGCTAGAGAGAAATTAAACGAGCCAGCTAAGGTCAGTGCAACAGCAAAACCCTTTCGTTCCTTTGCCTCTCCTTCAGGCAGCTTCCAGGAAAGACGGTCCAGATAATTTGCGAAGCCATATGATCTTACTTAGATAACGTGCTGTCCCACCACTGAGGCTGTGTCTGAATCCCATGTTTTATTGAGAGGGACTTTGGACAGCGTCTAATCCGTCCCCAGAGGGGTGGTTCTGGTGTTTCACTATGTGACTCAGCAAGTCTCGGCTCTCAGAGCCCCAGTTTCCTCAGCTCTAAAATACAAGCTGGACTAGATCAGTGGTTCTCAAACCGGTTGGTCTCAGGACCTTTTACACTCTTAAAAATTATTGCGGACCCAAAGAGCTTTGGTTTATCTGTTATGCCTATCTATATTTACCATTTAAAAAATTAAACTCTTGAATAACAATTTCACAAAGCAAAAGGAAATTGAGACAAGTGGTATTTTTGACAATTTTGCAAATCTAATGTCTGGCTTAATGCAGTTTAAGGAGGCTGGATTCTCATATCTGCCCCCACATACAGTCTCTTCCATACCACGTCATGGGACCTGGAAAACACTGTACACTTGTGAGAATGAAAAAGGCAAGTATGAATGAAAACTGAAAATAGTTTTGTCTCTACTTCCCCCTGAAAGGGTCTCAGGGACCTCAGGGGTCCCAGAGCACCCTTTGAGAATTGTTTGAAAAGGTGATCCAAAAAAACCCCCCAAAACAAACAAAGGTGGTCCATAGACGTCCCACAATCGGAATCATCTGGGAGTCCTGATAAAATGTATGTTTCCTGGCCCAGCCCAGACCTGTAGTATCAAAATTCACATTTCACAAGCTTCCTTACACTCCGGAGTTTGGGGGCTCTTGGTTGGGAGAGCTCTACGGTTCCTGCCAGGCTGGTTCCTCTGAGCTGGCTGACTGTATTATTGTCACCTGTTGTGGCAGAGCTGGGACTAAGACCCAGGTCTTGGTGCAGGGCTTTTGCCTGGCAGTGATGGAAGCTGCTTCACTCTCAATGCTCTGCCTGCCGTACCTGTTCACCTTCATAGTCATTCCCCACTCAGGCAAGCACTAAGGGTAGCCAGGTGCCTTGTGTGCAGCTTTAAAAATAAATTAGGGGTTTGCTTACAACTTTGTTTCTGCATCCAGTAAAAGCAAGAAGAAATGAAGAAAAGGACCCAAAGACAAGGTCTGGAGGAGGTTCTGTTCTAATCTTGGCCCCACCTGGATGTTTGTACAGTGAGTCAGCCACAGTCCATGATCCCCATACCAGGATATGGGGGAGTATAAAAAAAAAGTGTAAGGCCTGGCTGGTACATCGCAGGCAAATATGGAAGCAACACCAGGAAAAGGGCAAGTTTATATAAAGAATCTCTAGTGAAGAAAATCTAACAAAATATTTACATCCAAGATAAAGTGGACTGTGGCATCATTTTAGAGTTTCAGAGTAGCATTCCATTATTGCACTCAAAAACAGTTAGTGTGATTTAACACCTAACTTCCAATAGGCCAAAACTGCTATAGTCGGACACTTGCTAGCATGGAAGTGTCTGTAAAAACCTCTGTTACAAAGTAACCTATGCAAGTGGTGCGACGGAAATAGCACCAATTGCACAGGTTACTTGGATCACTCACAACTGGGCCACTAACTAGCCATGAACTAGCCGTGTGACTTTCAGTAATTATCTGTTGAGTACTTATTACGTGCAAGCAACTGTTAGATGATATGAAGAGAAAAAAAAAAAAACACCCAAAAAACTAAAAAGCACTGGTGGAGCTAAGCCGCCTTCTCAAGCATCTGCTGGAGGCCGCAGGGTTCCGTGCTGAGGCCTTTGCGAAAGCGGGCGGGACACGGAATTTGTAATGCCCTGGCCGACGGGTCGCGGTCACCCGGCCTCTAGTTCCTCAGCTGTACAGGAAGGGGGTCAATGACACGGCCTCCGAGCCTGGCCCGTCACACCCCCAATCAGCACATTCCCCGCGGGCGCTCCCTGCGCGTCCTGCTTCACCTGCATAAAGGGGCTGTTTCCCCCGCAGGCTCGGGTGCGACCAGCATTTCCCGGCGCCCATCACCCTCGCCCAAATGCCAGGCGAGGGAAACCTCGGTCCCTGCCCGGAGCTCAGCGATACGATGCGTAAGCCCCAAGTGCACGGCAGCGACGGGAGAGGAAGGAGGGACGGACAGCCGGACAACAGGTGTCCAAGTGCCTGGAACACTGGAAAGCGCGGCCCAGCCACACCCACCACCCCGCACGGAGCCGCAGAGCAGAGCTCTGTCCAGCGCCCTGC